GGAAATTTATCATAATTCAGTATACGTGATGCTACTCTCGACGACATATTCAGTTATTCACCTTAAAGTATGTTTTATTATAAAACCTCTGTAAGATAAATCCAAAACAGTATTTTATGGTAAAAAAACTATTAATTTTTGGGATTTAAAAAACATTCGAATAATGTTCGATAGGGTGATGATTAATAAAGTGGAGATATAGTCCTAATCCGACTTTTAAAGCACCGCTTGAGAGATATGTATGTAGAGAATATTCGAGTTAGCAAAAATAATCTTAACACTAGCTCGACCATATCGATATACAACATCCACTATCTTTGCATAAGTTCCTTTGTTCAAATTATTAATGCTCTAAAATTTTACTTACTTTAGACACTGTACAACTTTTAGAGAACAGATTAACATTGATGGTATTATTAATTAGATTCGAGAACATATGTTACAAGGATGCAACTGACGGTTGAATTACACGAACACTGCATGCGGATCCATTCAAAATATTTGAATTAAATCAATCAAACATGTTTTCTTGAAGTGATGGTTGATATCTGATTCCCTTCATCTAATCATCTTACACTTTTATTGGTTTTAGTATCTTAAAAGAAGAAAAACTTGCTTCGTTTGTCTTCCCCTTTAATCAATAGAATAAAAGAACCTGTCACGCTAATATTTTCATTTTCCTAGCTAATGTTCCGATTCTTGCGCTATCTAGCAATCAAGGACCACATGACTTTGATCACTTTCACCTAACTTATTTTTCTTTCTCTAAAGATGAATCCACATGTCGAGTTATAATAATTATGGTGTTGTATAGAGTATAGTGCTTACTCCATTAACACTGGCCCAAAAACACTATGTTTCGTTGTCTTCATTAGTCCACTTTGAAGAAGAACAAATTCTTAAACGACTCTAATTATAATCCACCAAAACGATTACGCAAAAGTAAAACTAGTTTCAAAAGTTTGAACACAGTGGAACCAATATATACATTTTAGAAATGCTTATAACTTTCACGTGTAAGCACTTTGAGCGGTTCAAAATGGATTTTGAACAATGGTATCAAGTTGATTGATATTTAGGGTTTTGAACTCGTTTTTCTAGTTTTGTTTCTTTAGAGCACCCCCATTGAGAGTTCAAATGGGGTTCACACGGAAACCAAAAAAATAAAATAATAAAATAACAAAAATCTATGAATCCCTCTCTCATAAAGTTCACCCGGGTGAACCCCTCTCTCCTAAGGTTCAACACGTGTCAGTCCGGAATTGGGCTAGGTCTTTTTTTTTTCTTTTTTTTTAAAAGAAAAAATTCAAAAAGAAAATAGAAAAATTTTAATAATAAAAAATTGATTTAATGAACCCCAAGAGGGGGTTCATTGATGTGGATGCTCTTATTATATAGCTTTACATAGTGGCTACTACGGCTTTTTACATATCTCGTACAGTCGTACTTCTGTGACAAAAAGAGCCTATGTAACTTTATTTTTGTCAAAAAACAAACTTGTACTTCTTTTAAACATGAGTAATTGTACTTGTTGAAAGAAAGTTCGATGTGTTGTTATTTATTTTGAGAATGTGGCACAAACATGTAATTGTATAATTTCAACAAATAAAGAAATTATTTCTGTAATCTATAATGGGTGATTTCACTTCTCTCTTACTTTTCATAGAATTATTAATGTTTATCTTCTGTAAATGAATATTTTTAAAAAGATCTAATTACGAAGTTACATTAAGAAGATAAAAGTTATTTATATTCTTACTTTATAAATATATAAATATAAATTACTATTTAAATAAATAATAAAACATAAAAATATAAAAAATAAATACAATTTTACAGGTTTTGAATTATACCTTTTCAAATTCAAATCATCTTATAATATTTCTTTTATTATTCATAAATTCTTTGTATAAACTATTTTTACAATTTTATTTTAATTTTTAAATATTTATTAAAATTCTAAATCTCTTCTTTCACCCAGATCTAAATCTTAAGTCTAGTAAATCCTATGACTATAAATACATATTTATGTTTTTAAAATTTAAATTAAATGTGGTTAAAATAATCATGAAAATTGATATTAGGAAAATGAAATTTAATCAAAATTTCTTTATAATTTACTTAATCAGGTAAGCAAGGAAACAACGTGAGCAAGTTAAGTTATGATGACATAATCACGAAATTAGACGAAGTATGTGATTTCCTATAAATTTAATAGGTCGTAATGTTTCACTGTTGTGGCATCAGTTATGTGGGTTATGTAATGTTCTGAGCCTCTACTTATATATGGATTCTTACATAAGTTGATATGTTTTGTCAGATCAGACCAGTCTGTTGTCACATACATAACCAAAAGAAAGAGAGTATTTTATGACCATATATACACATAGAACGATGAATATAGTTTTGTATTCCCCCTGACATAAAAGTCTATAATATTAAAAGTTGTATAAGTAAAAGAATAATAAGCTGATCTGGTTGTTATCGTCAATAACTTTAGATCAACGCAAAGGGTTTGAAGGAAGAATCAGGATTAGTAAAAATATAGTAATAAAATATGTTTGAAAACGGATAAAATCGAATATAAGGATAGAAACAGTGAGTAAGGGAGTAGTAGTGGTAGTAGTAGCATGGAGCATGTTTAATGCGCTTCATTAGTTTATATTCCAAGATTTTTCTCAAAAAAAATTATTTTTGAAAATAAAAGAGGAAGAGAGGATTACGAATAAGTATGGCCAATTCTGAACCCATTGTTCAGAAGTGGAAACTTCTTACGGATTTCAAAAGTTTTAGTCCGAATTCAATTGCTCTATCCAATAATTAATGTGATTTAAATATAACTAATCACCTATTTTATAATTAGTACAGTAGAAATATCTCAAATATTATTAACTAGGTGATTTTCCCGTGCTCATGCACGGACATGTATATTTATAAAATAAATATACAATAATAATTGATTGATACTTACTTTATTTTTAAATTAATTTATAGTTTGTATGTCTAATTTATATTACAATATTATATTACTTTAACTATATAAATAATTTTAGATATGTTATATTTAGTCTGTTTTATTGTTTTTACGGTCGATTTAGTTATCATTTAGATATATTGGATTCTATCTATTTCTCTGAATTCAACTATAATCTTTTATATCTTAAATATATTAAATTTTTGATTAATTGTCTTATTTTCATTTATGATGGTTGTTATTTTAGAAATATAATTATATTTAGTAAGATTATATATAACTTAAGATTTTTTTGTGCTTAGAAGGAAAAATAAATAAAAACTAAAGTGTCTGATTCTAAATTACATACTTAAGTAACTAATGAATTTTTAGAAGCTTTTGAACTCATATCAATATTTACAATAATTAAAATATTTTATAAATTCTAAATAAATTTATGCTTTAGATAGATTGGATGGTAAACTGAAATTTATTTTAAATAATTTTAAAAATAAGGATTCTGATTTGCTTAAGTATTTTGACTATGGTTATATTAAGTTTCACAAACATAAAAACAGAAAATTAATAATCAAAAGATTTATTAAGAAAACATATAATACTAAAAAAATAATTTCAATAATACTAATTATAAAAAAATATCAATTAAACATATATCAGTTTATTTTAGTTGATTATTTTATGTAATCATCTAATAAAATAGATAGATATATACAAAAATAATTATTTTAAAAATAAATAAAATTTATTGTTTAAAATTATATTTTTTAAAGAAAAAATATTTCTTTTTCTAATAGTAATATTTTTTTGTGTGAATTTTTTTATGAAATCACACTATATACATATATTGTTTTTTTATCTAAGAAGATATAGATATAAAGTATTTTATTACTTCAAAGGTATATTTTATGTTATTTAAAATATATTTAAATTAAATATTACTATTTTGTGAACTTTCCTTTTTTCATTAAACCATATTATATATACTTATATTTTCGTTTTTAAATAGTTTTGTAAATTTTATAAATGTTTCCTTTTTATTTTAAATTGTTATTTGGAAATTTTTAAAAAGGAAATAATATTTAATTGTATTTTAATTCATTAGGGGTATCATAGTAATCAACCAACGTGAGAGTTAACGTGAGCGCGACACCTAAGAAAGTGACTTATCAAATAATATTATAGAGATGCTTTGAATGGTTTATTGTGTAAAACCGAAAACGGCACGTTAATCCTTGGACATTATATGACATTAGTAGATGGTTAGATCAACTTTGTAATAGACAGAAAAATTGTTCATAGAACATAATATGTAAATTGATCTGAAACCGTCGTCTACTTGATTAGTATATGCTTGTGTAGCTAGTGTTTGGGAGAATGACTAAAAATAGGCTTTTGAAATAACAAAGAAGCCCAACTATACTAAAGGCGATATCAACCTGTTAACTTGGCCCTTTTAGCATCTCATTATTAAACCTCGTTTGTAACCCTTAAGGCCTTAACTAATGTATGGGTCCAAATTGTGGTAAGTCCTCAAATTTTGAAATAAAAAAGAATTTTTTTTTTTCAATTTCTTGTTGTGTGATATCTACGTTTCATTTGCATATATAAATAAATAAAATGTTTTCGACAAAAATATAAAATGTTTATAAAATAAATACAGAGAAAGAAATGCACTATAATTTCAAATTTTGAAAAACATAAATCGGTCTGGACTAACAGATATATTTTTAGGAGGAAAAAAAAACTCTTCTCTCACATTCACTCTTATCTTTTTTTATGTTTCACTCATTTAAAAAAAAACTAATGTCTCCTCTCCGTTTTCACCGAAAGATGCGTGAAATCCTTTACATCCAAGGAGGCCAATGCGGCAACCAGATGGGAGCCAAGTTCTAGGACGTCGTCTGTGCCGAGCACGACATAGATCCCACCGGCCTTTACACCAGAGACTTAGATCTCCAGCACGAACGAATCATCGTCTACTATAACAAAGCTAGATGCGGCAGATTCTGTCTCTCGCGCCGTCCTCATGGATCTTGAGACTAGAACCATGGACATCCTCAGATCTGGACCCTACGGCCAAACCTTTCACCAATCCGGCGCCGGTAACAACTGGACCAATGGGCATTATACTGAGGGAGCTGAGCTAATCGCTTCTGTATTCGATGTTGTTCGTACGGAAGCTGAGAACCGTGATTATCTTCAAGGTATATGAACTCATCTTCTAGATCCGTTAAATTTTGTGGTTTGTTAGGGTTTAGAAGAGTGTGATTTGGTTTATTAGGGTTTTGAAAAATGTGATTTGTTTTATTAAGGTTTTGAGAGTGTGATTTGGTTTATTAGGGTTTAGGGTATTAGGGTTTTGAAGAGTGTGATTTAGTGTATTAGGGTTTTGAAGAGTGTGATTTGGTTTATTAGGGTTCTGAAGAATATGATTTGGTTTATTAGGATTTTGAAGAGTGTGATTTTGGTATTTGCAGGGTTTCAGGTCTGTCATTCATTGGGAAGAGGAACCGGATCTGGTATGGGGATTTTGTTGATTTCAAAGATTAGGGAGGAGTATCCAGATCGGATAATGCTTACGTTCTTGGTGTTTCTTTCTCTTAAGGTTTCTGATACGGTTGTTAAGCCTTATAATGCTACTTTGTCAGTTCATTAGTTTGTTGAGAACGCTCGCTAGTGTGTTGTTTTGGATAATGAGGCTATGTATGATATTGGCTTTAGGACTCTCAAACTCACTACCCCTAGCTGTAAGATATCATTACTTCATGTCTTGCTCATCATTAATTGCTTAAAAGAGTGTTTTAGATTGTGAATATATAATTTTTTTTTGTATCCTAGTTTGATCTGCAAGTTATCACCTGATTGATTATTCATTCCAGTAATATTTGTGTGCTAATGATTTCATCAAGAACATCTTTGGTTTAGTGGTTTTATTTTTTTGTCATATGCTTTCGATCATGGTGTTGTTGATTTTGTTTGTTATTCTATGCTCATCTAGTTGTTCTTATAACCTTAATAATTATGAAACCGATAAGTTTCGATCTTATTAGCACAGTTAATTCTTGTGGCATAAGGGGGATATGCAGAATATATTGATTATTAATAATTGTGATAATGTAATGTCTGCTTTATTATATTGTTGTTTTAGCAAGTTTTGGTGCTCATGTTGTTTGTAGTATGTGTTTATTTGTCTCTCATATTTGACTCATCCGGTCTTATTCGTCATTGATGCTTTTAGTCTTTTGTTCATTGCTTAAAAGTGTTTTGTATCCTATTTTGGTGTGCAAGGTATAACTCGATTAGTGCTTTCTTTATATATAACACTTTATTCTAGTAATAAATGTGTACTATTGATTTCTTAAGTAATATTTTTTCTTTATTGGTTATGTTTGTCATTCTATTTTTGTCTATGTTGTTCTCACATGTTTCAATCTTATTAACACAATATATCCTGGCTAAGCGTCATCTTCTAGCATAAAGGATATGCAGAATACAATGCTGATTAATGATTTTGCTGTGATTGTGATAATGTACTGTCTGTTTTATTATGTTGTTAATTTAGCAAGTTTTGGTTTTCATGTTGATTGTGATTGTGTATTGTTTGATTTATCATGTTATTGATTTCGCTAATTAACATCTTTAATTTATTATTTATGTTTGCAAATATATGTTCGTCTATGCCATTCCCATACGTTTCAGTTTTATTGGTACACTATATTATGTTTGGTTAAGCGTCATATAGCATGTACACTACTTCTTGTGACATCAAAATCACACTCTTTAAAAATAAAGCTGATAATACATGACCAAAATACATCACATAGTACACGTAGCAATCAGTGATTGCGCCATGGTTGTGATAATGTACTCTCTGCTTTATTTTTCTTTTCTCAGCCACTATCTGTCTACTTTATTTTATCAAGTTTAGGTGCTCATGTTGTTTGCTGTATGTGTGGTTCATTTTATGTTTGTAGTTAGTAAAAGGTTTTCAGAGCACAAGGTAAATGCTTGAGTGATGAACACAAAGATGAAGATTAAAGAGACTTAGAATGAAATGAGATGGTAAGAGAGATTGATGGAAGAGATTCGTGAAAGACTAGTAGAGAATGAGAGAGACTTTGTATCAAGAGATTAAGAACCAGAGATTTGTGTAACAAGAGACTAAGAGATTATAGTAACCAAGACTTAGAGATTTAAGAACAAAGTTTATGAAGAAGAGAGACTCTCTCAGCTTACATTATTAACTCGACATACAAATGAATATAAAGAAGAGAATCAGATACAAGAGACATTCAACATTACTATACAAAGCATGTGAAGTCATAAAGGAGAGGAGCCTTTTGTTTGAATTGTATGGACCAGCTTTCTCACACACTTTGGACTAGTAAAGGGAGGCGTGGCTGCTCCTTGTGGTCTTCTTTTGGACAGTCCAAGACAGGCTGTCTTTGACTGAGAAAGCTAAGGATAAGCTCTCCTTATCCTTTAACGGATACACCCAAAGAGCA